TGTGTGTGTGTGTGTGTGTGTGTGTGTGTGTGTGTGTGGTCACTAAAATAACCTCATTTTGATTATTTCTGGCTATTTGCAGACTGTATAAAGTGGCGACCTGTTTCTAACCCATAAAATGACTTTTGTTGATATAAATTAGTGCATTTAGGTGGATTGAGTAATTATTATTATTTCTGTCAGCGTACAGTAATATCTTGTTAGTTAACTAGTAGTGAGCAATATGTTTTTACAGCATTTGTTCATAATATTTATTAATGTTAAATAAGAAAATGTAATTGTGAATTGTTTGTTCATGCTGTAGTTCACATTAAAAAGGTAACATATGAAATTTTATTTTAATAATGTATTAGTAAATGTTGCAATTAACATTAACTGAGATTCATAAATGCTGTAGAAGTATTGTAAATAATTAAACCTTATCGTAAAGTGTTACCTAATTATTAATTGCACAGTTACACTGTGTTCAGTGCAGATCGTGTTCATCCTCACACTAAAAAGAACGGGGACATCTGAATGAACTGCTTGTTATTTAACATCACTGAACCTCCTAAATATGTTAATTTATACCAAAAAAGGTAGAAATATATCTTTATGGAAACATCTGCAAGTCACTTTTTACAAAAAGTAACACTAAATGAACTGCATTTATTCAAGAAAAAAATATTATTTGCCATCACTGATTACCAACTGGGTTAAATCAGATAGAGTTAGTAGTTTAGGGCAACAGTGCAGGAGACGTGACCTACATGAGAGGAAATATCTTCAGGAAGTCAGCACATGTGAGGAGGGAAAGGTGGACAGACTCTGAACAGCCAATGGAAAGCAAGGGTTACTCCCGTCCATCTGTTTTCTGGACTAATAGGCCGTAATCTCCAGTGACAGCGCAAGCTAATTGCTAGTGATGCCTTTGTGGGGAAGGGGCAGGGGAGGCGGAGCCTTACTCTCCAGACCCCGCCCTCAAGATGGACAGCAGCCAATCATCACTGCTCACAAGCTGTATGAGGCTCTGGATGTCCGTTTGCAGAACATACATGCAGAAGCTCGTCTAATGACTATAGCACCAAACCCACAAATGCAGTTTTATCAAGCAGAGGAGTCAGCAGAATCACAGCAGAGGACACTGATCTGAGCACTTGACATGACGCCATCAATCTGAGTATTAATATTCAGCTCAGCCTGGTTGCTCCAGATGATTGTGGATTCATTATCCAGTGTCAAGCATTTGATAGCAGTTTTCTCTCAGTGTAATAGCTTTGGTAATGTGTCTCTCTCAGGCCAGACACGATACTTTAGACCAACTTAAGAAACACTCTCATACTCTTGTTACAGCTGATAATCCTTTGATAATCGACAGCGTATGAATGAACGCTTGTGCATTAGGAGAGCGTCTGGAAAATGATGCATAAACTCGCATCAGATCACGTCCGTGGAGAGATATGCGTGATGATCCAGAGATAGCCTCTGTAGGCTGTTTGTGAATAAGAATTACCGTATTACAGTGGTTGGTTTCTTATGTGCAGTTATTTATGAGTGCATTTAAATTCAATCACCGTCATGCAGTCTGGATAGAAAGGAAGCTATGAGTAAATAGACTTTAAAAGGCTCCACAAACAATCAATACTTACTTACTATAGAAACATCAGCAGTTTTGCTTCCAGAAACAACCAGAAGAGCCGTGTGTATTATTGATAAAGCATAATTACTGGTAACGCTTTAGATTAGGGACCAATTCTCACTATTCTATAGTTGCTTGTTAGCTATTACTAGCATATTAGATGTTTATTAGTACTTATAAAGCAGATATTAATGCATGGCCATATTCTAAGATCCCTTAACCCAACCCAACACCTAAACATAAGCACTACAACAGCTACCTTACTTACTATCAGTGAGCAGCGGTGAGGAGTTTAATGAGAGAAAGAGTGAATGTGTTCCCTCGTCTGAAGTGTTACTGCATCAGTCTCTTTCTCCTCTGAAGCGTATGAGCATCACTTATGATGGAGACGGTCTCCTGAGATTCCTTGACAAATGAGAAATGAATTCTATGATGATGAATGAGGCAAGACAAATGATAAATATGCTTTAAGAAGTAAAATAGTTGTGTCATTACAGATGGGTTATTTTATCCAGTATTTGTATGAACTGAGCAAAAGTGCAGAAATGCGCTGAACTGTACTGAACGTGCACTTAGTGTAAATATTCTTAAAAACTGTACTTGCACATGATAGAAAATTCAATGAAATCAAAGGCCATTTAAGTGAACAAAAAACACTAAAACTAAACACTAAAGTACACTTTTAAAATGTGCACTTTTTAATCATGTACAATTAAAAGTTTTACTTTAAATTACATTTCAGATCATTATGTTTCAATAATCTTTTGCTGTGCTTTGAAGTACACTTATTTTGACATGTTGACTAAAGCACATGTAAAGTACTTGATTATAACTTCAGTGTGTTATTTGATATTAAAATTAAAAAAATGTTTTATTGCAGCTTCATCATTACAAATGTGCCAATATATTTAAATGCATGACAAACAAGCTTCAGCAGGAATGACATTAAAGTATATTTTAGATGATCATAAATTCTTGAGTTGTAAGCAGGATGAGTGGCGGCTCGTCAGGCTGTGGCAGTGAGGAGCTGCACTGTGTTTTAGAGCTCAGCTTGTTGCTTCATTCACTGATTTAAAGAATCTAGATTTACATTTACATTTAGTCATTTTGCAGACGCTTTTATCCAAAGCGACTTACAATTGGGGGATACATAAAGCGATTCTTCTTAAAGAGGCAAATAGACACAAGAAGTGGTTGTAATACCAAGTTTTAGGCATTGTTCAAATAAGTACAAGCTAGAAACGGAAGGAATAAATAAAGAGAAAGACAAAGGTATTTTTTTTTAAATTAGGATGAAGTCAAGTAGAGTCGAAAGAGATGAGTTCTCAGCTGTCGCTTGAAAATTGACAGGTTGAGCTGTAGGTGATGTTCTTTCATCCATGCCGAGATGTCTGCCAGGCAGCCTGAGATGCGGGCAGCTACCGTCGGATCATCTGGTTGAAATGAAAGATAGAGCTGTGTGTCATCAGCATAGCAATGGTAGGAGAAGCCATGTGCCTGTATGTTGGGACCCAGTGATGTAGTGTATATGGAGAAGAGGAGCGGTCCAAGAACTGATCCCTGAGGATCCCCAGTGACCAGTTGATGTGCTTTTGATACCTCCCCTCCCCAGGCCACCCTGAAAGACCTACCAGTGAGACAGGATTCAAACCAGATACTTTAAATAATTTCATTCACTCCTTTTGTCAAAGAAAATATCTCAGCTGATGTTTGAAATCCTGCAGTAAAAGCAGATGCAGATCTCTGAATAAGCGTTGATGTGATTTCTGTGAGAGTGATTGATCAAATCAAACAGAGCTGAGCTGATAGAGTCGACTTTAGAGTGGACTGGTGTGTGAGAGAGAGTCTGACTCCGCTGCTCCTCCACGCTGGTGAGTTACTCTGATTATTATACCGACTTCACACACTTACAGCAGGGTTTATGTGGTATCTATACTGCACAATCAGAGATTGTGGACTCGCGGGTCACAGATGACAGCTAGAAATCGAATGCATATTGACGAATGTTAGACGTTTTTAGAAGTGTTTACCAATCAAGTCCAGAGATGAAGCACAGAATCACTGGAGCTCAGACTGAGTTTATCAGTGTTCAGCTGCACATGCGTCTTCACCACACACACACACACACACACACACACACACACACTCATGGGAAGACTGCTCAGGATCAGCAGACACACAGATCAGATCTTCTGTAGGCACAGCTGCTGTGATTGGGTTTGAGTGTTTTTTTCATGGTTTTGCATGAGTTCATCATCTTGAGATTGAAATGATTTCACCGGCTGCCAGTGAAGCGTCTGCAGATTAAACTCTGGATCGATGCCATATAAAGACGAGATACGGTCAGCTTCAGCATGTCCTCATCGGACTCCCCTGTTGAAAAACCAGCATATTCTGGTTAGGTATGTTGTCAAGCATGGCAGCTGGTTTGAGCTGGTTTAAGCTGGTCCTAAGAAACTAGCTCCTGCTCATGACCAACTAAGGATCAGCTCAAACCAGCTGCCATGCTTGACAACATACCTAACCAGAATATGCTGGTTTTTCATCAGGGACTTGGAGAAAAGCTGCCGGATTCCAGCATGTGTGCAGTTCTTCTTCATACTTCATTTTAATGCTAAATCACACTGTAAGAATAATTGCTTACCCTTTCCAAATGACAGAACTTTCAAAACAACAACAAAGCTCATTATTGTGGGTTAGATCAGCCCAGCTAACAGAAATATGTTCCAGGTGTTGCTAACATAGAAGTTATGAAAACATTATTTCTGAATGTTTTTTTAATGTCCAAAAATCTACAGTTTTTTTAATGAATTAGTAGCATTTCTTTTTGATATATGAACATTAGATGTATATTCCAGTTTATTATTTTGAAAATGTTATGAGAAAATGTTATATTTCAATGTTTTCTCAACGTTTAAAACATCCATTTATGAAATGTAAACATTATTTCTGAATGTTAAAAATATCCTTTTTTTAAACTTAAGAAAGTTTCTTCTTGGTTAAGCAAGCATTAGAGGAATGTTTCATTTGATCATTTTGAAAATGTTATAAGAATGTTACGTTTCAATGTGATTTATTGTAAGAATGTTTCAACATCATGAGAATGTAAATCAAATATTATAAGAATGTTTCCTAAACATTATTTTAATAAAGCCTTGTCCTAACGTTTATATAAACTTTTAAAAAGTTAGTGACAGTTATGGGAGCGTTTGCTGTCAGCTGGGAGGGAGAAGCAGCTCTTTACAGTCAGAACTGTGTGCAGTGAAGAGGACCTTAGTGAGCACAGGGTGTGGGTGTCAGTCGTGTCCACAGTCCTTCGGTGTGTGTGTGTGTGTGTGTGTGTGTGTGTGTGTGTGTGTGTGTGTGTGTGTGTGTTCAGGGGTGTCTGGGTCAGACTGCAGACTGTATGTTCATGTTTAATCCGTCAAAAGAAGCGAGCGCTGCTGTCTGTTTGTGTTGATGTCCAGACAAACTGTGACTTTGTGCTTTCTGATTTATCCTTACACATGATCATGCATGTTGAATCTGGTCTGATGTGTGTGTGTGTGTTTGTGTGTGTGTGTCAGAGCTCAGCTCCACGCTTGTGGAGAAGATGCAGTCTCGGGATCTGCTGCTGGGTCTTCAGCTGCCTGAGCTGGATGATCTGGGTCAGTTCCTCCGCTCTCTGCCCACCTCGGCTCTGCTGGGTCTGGGTGCTCTGACCGCTGTGCTGGCCTACTGGATCTCCACTCGGCCACGGCCCATCACGCCGCCCTGCGACCTCCGGCTGCAGTCACAGGAAGTGCAGGTAAACCTCGGATCAGGTGATCAGAGCTGACCAATCAAACGTGTGACGAGAATCATGCTGCTGCTCAAACAGACGTCATCTTAAAACCCTCTGGATCTCACGCAGGGCCCAAAGATGATTTTATATTATTAAAAATAAGACAAAGCAAGGTTTAAAATAAATGAAAGCAGCTAAAAATCAAGATGTAAGCTGAAATCATATATCTTTTTGAATTTCGTTCCCTCAACCAGTTCTGTTTTTGATGAGGAACCAGATGCTCGTGGACAGCCTGCATATTCTGGACTTTTAAACATGTGGTTCTAGACCTGGAAAAGATTTATATAAATGTAAATGGCTCATTGTGAAAAAAAACTGAATTATTATCATTAACTAAAACTAAAATAGTCAAATTTGTTTACTTTTAAATACAATTATTGTTAACCGAAAAAACAGAAACCAACAAACAAACAAAAAACACTCATTTTATTTCAGCTAGCTTCCAAGGAAACATTTATCTTGTTCATCATTTTCATTTAGTTTAACTAAAAAATAATTAACAGGAAGCTATGAGTAATAAAACTAGAAGTCATGTTAATTTAATGGTAATAAAAAATATAAACCATGTAGAACATTCAGTTACTGGGGTTATGAAATTGAATTATTTTAAATGATTTCTAACTACGCTTTGTCATTTTTGACAGTAAAAAGCCTGAGAAGCTCTGATCTACATGGCTGAGCATTAGTTATGAATCATCATGAGGTGTTCATCACATGAGTTCCTCCCTCACTAGTGTGCACAACAGACTCACACAGAGAGAGGCTTCATTCATGCAGCTCCAACATTATGCTTTTATCACTTCAACAATAAATCATCAAACTAAACGCGAGTGCATGTTCAGACTGGTTCTGTGTCCTGTGATGATCTCCTTTTGAGTCCTGTGTGTTCAAATCCGGCTCAGATCTGAGGTTTTGCATAAGCCAAGCATTCTCAGGTGTGTGAGTGAGTGAGTGAGTGAGTGAGTGTGTGAGTGAGTGAGTGTGTGTGTGTGTGTGTGTGTGTGTGTGTGTGTGTGTGTTCAGGGGTGTCTGGGTCAGACTGCAGACTGTATGTTCATGTTTAATCCGTCAAAAGAAGCGAGCGCTGCTGTCTGTTTGTGTTGATGTCCAGACAAACTGTGACTTTGTGCTTTCTGATTTATCCTTACACATGATCATGCATGTTGAATCTGGTCTGATGTGTGTGTGTGTGTTTGTGTGTGTGTGTCAGAGCTCAGCTCCACGCTTGTGGAGAAGATGCAGTCTCGGGATCTGCTGCTGGGTCTTCAGCTGCCTGAGCTGGATGATCTGGGTCAGTTCCTCCGCTCTCTGCCCACCTCGGCTCTGCTGGGTCTGGGTGCTCTGACCGCTGTGCTGGCCTACTGGATCTCCACTCGGCCACGGCCCATCACGCCGCCCTGCGACCTCCGGCTGCAGTCACAGGAAGTGCAGGTAAACCTCGGATCAGGTGATCAGAGCCGACCAATCAAACGTGTGACGAGAATCATGCTGCTGCTCAAACAGACGTCATCTTAAAACCCTCTGGATCTCACGCAGGGCCCAAAGATGATTTTATATTATTAAAAATAAGACAAAGCAAGGTTTAAAATAAATGAAAGCAGCTAAAAATCAAGATGTAAGCTGAAATCATATATCTTTTTGAATTTCGTTCCCTCAACAAGTTCTGTTTTTGATGAGGAACCAGATGCTCGTGGACAGCCTGCATATTCTGGACTTTTAAACATGTGGTTCTAGACCTGGAAAAGATTTATATAAATGTAAATGGCTCATTGTGAAAAAAAACTGAATTATTATAATTAACTAAAACTAAAATAGTCAAATTTGTTTACTTTTAAATACAATTATTGTTAACCGAAAAAACAGAAACCAACAAACAAACAAAAAACACTCATTTTATTTCAGCTAGCTTCCAAGGAAACATTTATCTTGTTCATCATTTTCATTTAGTTTAACTAAAAAATAATTAACAGGAAGCTATGAGTAATAAAACTAGAAGTCATGTTAATTTAATGGTAATAAAAAATATAAACCATGTAGAACATTCAGTTACTGGGGTTATGAAATTGAATTATTTTAAATGATTTCTAACTACGCTTTGTCATTTTTGACAGTAAAAAGCCTGAGAAGCTCTGATCTACATGGCTGAGCATTAGTTATGAATCATCATGAGGTGTTCATCACATGAGTTCCTCCCTCACTAGTGTGCACAACAGACTCACACAGAGAGAGGCTTCATTCATGCAGCTCCAACATTATGCTTTTATCACTTCAACAATAAATCATCAAACTAAACGCGAGTGCATGTTCAGACTGGTTCTGTGTCCTGTGATGATCTCCTTTTGAGTCCTGTGTGTTCAAATCCGGCTCAGATCTGAGGTTTTGCATAAGCCAAGCATTCTCAGCAGCTGGCCAACTGTAGCGTCCTACAACAACAACATCATATATGCATACTGTATATATTCTCATACTCTCTCTTCGAATGTGGTTCAGGAGGTGACAGTGGTAATATTTCCTTCACTATGAGCCTGTGGAAAGCTCTGCGCATGCAAACAACAGTGTTATGATCACAGATGAAAGCACTGAAGCGAGCACGTTCTCGTTGCACACAATCCAGCAGAATGCAAATATGAATGCAAACACGAATGCAAACAAGTACTAGACGACCAATTCAACAATGCACCTTTCATACGCTTATTGCCTGGGATTTACAGAAGATGTTTTCCAGATGGAGGACGGCGCTCGAAGGTCCATGATGGGCGACAGCTCCACGCTGCTCTCGTATTATCATGAGGACGCCAAGACCATGTACGAGGTGTTCCAGCGCGGCCTGCACATCACCGGTGAGCGGCACAACCCATCAGAGTCATGCAAATCACCTGATGAACAAAGAGCAGTGCATTATGGGTAACAGCTGAGCACAGCCCAGGCCTCAGTGTCGCAGCAGCAGCTGAATATCATCTGTTCCTGGTTATATTGTCTTATTGGACACACATGAGCTGAGTTATACTCAGAGGGGTGTTTGGTATAAATAAATATAGTTATTAATAATGCTCTAAAATTTCAATTTCACTTACAATATAAAAAGCAGTTGTTGTTCTTGTAACAATATTTCTTGATCATGTAAAAGCAGCCTTGGTGAGCAGGAGAGACAGTTAATGGTAATCGTTGCAGTCCTTTGGCTGGAGATTTCTCTGAGATCCTCTTGCTCTCGAAGCACTGAGAGAAGAGAACAGAGGCTGTATGAGATGAAGAGGATGAGTGTGAAAGACCTGACTTCTCTCTGGTGTTTTGAGCAGGTGACGGGCCGTTTTTAGGCTCCAGACTCCCCAATCAGCCCTACACCTGGCTGTCCTACAGAGAGGTGCGTATAAGACCCGTTCACACCTGACATCACTGTGTGTTCACACGCAGACACATCCCCGTTCACACCTGCTGCTTCTCTTCTGTCCTGATCTCTCTCTGTGGACGGGTGTACAGATCTTTACATTTAATGTTGTGAAATAAGCTCGTGCAGTTTACTCGCGTGAAAGGAGACAGCAGAAAACAATACAGAGAGCAGCAGCTTCTGTTTCTGTGGGTTTGTGTTAGAATCAGGACTTTTTACATTTCATTTGCCTTCAAAGCAAACTGCTCTTTTAATCTCTTTGCTCTTTCAAATAAATAATATAGATTTGTTTGTCTTGTTTCCAGCCCAGATATCTAACCAATTCTTAAATCAAGAAGGATTTTCTAGACAAGTAAAAATTATTGTCTTTCTTGAAACAAGCAAAATAATCTTTTTTTTTTAGTTTGAAATAAGAGTAGCACATTATTTTGCTTGTTCTAAGCAAAAACTCACTTAATTTTGACTTGTTTTTTTTTAAAACAAGACAATAATTGAAACTTGTCTAGAAAATCCTTCTTGAGTTAAGAATTGTTAGATATCCGGGCTGGAAACAAGACAAAAAATCTAAGTAAGAAAAGCATTTTTTGCAGTGTATAACTGCATACATCATTAACCAATGTATTTCAAGGGAGAAACAAACGTTAAAAACATACATCTTAACATTAGGTTAAATCGACTGTTGTTTTTATATAGAATTGTTCTAAAGTCTATTCAGAATTGAATGCAAGTACATCAGAAGTAACTGTAAATAAACGTCAGTAATTGTTCATAACTCACAGTGATGATTATTGTGTTTGTGTCCGCAGGTGTTGAGCCGCGCCGAGCTCCTGGGCTCCGGTCTGCTGTCTCAGGGATGTCAGCCCAGTCCAGATCAGTTCATCGGGGTGTTTGCACAGAACCGGCCTGAGGTAAAGCACCAGACACCCAAACACGAGTCTGCCAGAAGCCATGAACAGAAGCTGATGATCTGCTCCGTGTCATGCGTTCGCAGTGGATCATCTCTGAGCTGGCGTGCTACACGTACTCGATGGTGGTGGTGCCGCTGTACGACACGCTCGGACCCGACGCCATCCGCTACATCATCAACAGAGGTGATCCCAAACACTAGAAGAACCACAACCTTCCAGTGATCAAGCCTTACAGTTATTTTCAGCTGCTTACACACTTTCCAACTTTGCCTCTTGTTTTCAAAACTTCACACACAAATCCAAGAACTGCACACAAAATGCAAAATACCTCACATCTCTTGCAAAATGAAGCGCTGCATTGAAAATATCACAAACACGTCTCAAAACCTAACATTTGCAAACACCTCTGACATAATATTAAATCCTGTTATATTTGTGTGTGTTACACAGAGAACTGTGTGTTGCGTTTTGCAAAAAGTGTTTTATGAAATTGAAAACGGAGTCAAAGGCTGAGATTAGTGTAAGGTTTCGCAGATTTGGTGTGTGCTTCTGGTGTTTGAGTGTCAGCTTTCAGAAACTGTGTGACAAGTAAAGATTAATCTTTTTCCCCTATTAAGAACCTTTAGCGGTTCCGTGGACGTTGAAGGTTCTTCGTGGAATCATACAGATGCTAAAAAGGGTTTATTTATTTGTATGTATTCGCTCTGTGAACACTGTGTTTTTCAGCGGAGATCTCCACAGTGATCTGTGATAAAGCGGAGAAAGCCGCGGTGCTCCTGGAGAACGTTCAGAGAGGAGAGACGCCGGGCCTGAAGACCATCGTCCTCATGGATGTGTTTGACGCTCCGCTGCTGGAGGAGGCTCAGAAGAGCGGCGTGCTCGTGCGGTCGCTCCGAGATGTGGAGGTGAGACGGATCGCCACACAGCACACAAGACGCCTTAAAGTCATTTAAAATGAGACAAAACTAGGTTTAAAATATGCTAAAACATGTCAAAATCTAAATGTAAGCTGAAATCATATTTCTTATTTTAATTTGTTCCCCTAACCACTACTGTTTTTATTTACAGTTTTTCTCGATTGCTAACACAATTCATGAAGCAATTCAGCTATATTGGGTGATATAGGTGACAATAAGCAAAAAGTCACTTAATTTTGACTTGTTTTTTCTGAAAACAAGACAATAATTTTTACTTGTCTAGAAAATCCTTCTAGATTTTTTTTGATATTTTGACTGAAAACAAGACAATAATTTTTACTTGTCTAGAAAATCCTTCTAGATTTTTTTTGATATTTTGACTGAAAACAAGACAATAATTTTTACTTGTCTAGAAAATCCTTCTAGATTTTTTTTGATATTTTGACTGAAAACAAGACAAAAAATCTAAGTAAAAAAAGCATTTTTCGCAGTGTGTCGTTGTTTGGAGAACTGTATGAATGGTTTGGAAAATTGGGCCAAATTAATCAGTCATAGTGTGTTAGCAATCGAGAAAAACTGTAAGAACTGAGGCCTCGTTTGTAAAATGAGAGTGTATGATGACTCCAGTGGGTCTACAGTAAGTCTTGACTGACGTCTCGATGTTGTTTTAGGCTCTGGGTCGAGAGAACTACAGGAAACCTGTGGTAAGTGTGCAAGCAAGGGTTCACTAGCGCTGTCGATCACAAACACAGACGCTGCTCAGAGCAGACTTATGCTGAGAAATTCATTCTTTGGAAAATTTCTTCAACAAACATCCTATAAAAAGTGGTAACCTGCCATTTCTACCTGACTTAACCCATAAAAGTAGTTTTGTTGGTGTAAGTTAATGCATTTCAGTCGAGTCAGTGAAGTTAAATAATGATTTTGACTTGAATAAAACCAGTTCATTTACATGTTACATTTTGTCAGTGTAGTTTGTAAGAACTGTAGCATTATGAAAGCATAAGTTTTCACTGTCACTGTTATTTGTCACAAATGTTGTGTCATGTGATTCACTCACTGCGCAGGATTGGTCAGGTGATTAGTCAGGGGACACCTGGTGCCCAGTGATCAGACTGTAGTTTTCCTCTGATTAAATGTTCCCCGAGCTGCTAGTCTGTCTGTGAAGAACTTCAGGACTTTTCCCAAGCTGAGACTGTTTAACCCTGTGCAGTTGACTCAGACTGATTCTGTCGTTTGATCTTGATGATGTGTGTTCATGTGTTCATGTGGTCATGTGTTCATGTGTTCATGTGTTTATATGGTCATGTGTTCATGTGTTCATGTGTTCGTGTGTTCGTGTGTTCGTGTGTTCGTGTGTTGATCAGACTGTAGTTTTCCTCTGATTAAATGTTCCCCGAGCTGCTAGTCTGTCTGTGAAGAACTTCAGGACTTTTCCCAAGCTGAGACTGTTTAACCCTGTGCAGTTGACTCAGACTGATTCTGTCGTTTGATCTTGATGATGTGTGTTCATGTGTTCATGTGTTCATGTGTTTATATGGTCATGTGTTCATGTGTTTGTGTGTTCATGTGTTCGTGTGTTCGTGTGTTTGTGTGTTCATGTGGTCGTGTGTTCGTGTGTTCGTGTGTTTGTGTGTTCGTGTGGTCGTGTGTTCGTGTGTTCGTGTGGTCGTGTGTTCGTGTGTTCATGTGTTCATGTGTTCATGTGTTCATGTGGTCATGTGTTCATGTGTTCATGTGTTCCTTTAGCCACCTGGACCAGACGACCTGTCCATCGTGTGCTTCACCAGCGGAACCACAGGCGAGTCGACACAGAGCTTCTCGTCTGAGCTGTCTTTTGTTTATCTCAAGAACTCAGAGTATTTTTCAGAAGAACTGAAGGGAGTGAACGAGGAAGAATTACTGATCTCTCACTTCTGTCTGAGTGCAGTTCCACGCTTTTAAAACAAAACATGCAGTGTTGAAGATGTCGAAGCTCCATGAAATACATGTTTGAAACTATATTTAGTTTCAACCTTTATACTGTATGCCAAAATACATTTCAGAATGTATTTCAGGGGTAAGAAAATGCATTTCCAATCTTGATTACAGTAAGTTCTAAACTTGGGGAAAAGAGACAGCTTCATATAAAAATATAATATTTTTATGTACTTTTATATTCATTTTAATATTTTTTATATATGCATATATATATATATACATATATTGTAATATTAAATTTTTTGAAGCATGTTCTTGCTGATATTAATTGAAAAGTGGTCACTCATGTTGTAGACAACAAATTAAGGTGACATGAAATATATTGAGGGCAAATATATATATTTTAAAATATATATTTTAAAAAAATTACCAAAACGTGGCCAAAATCTATATTGTTAGAAAATATGTTTACGTAAATATATTTTGGCCATTTTTTGTATGTTTTGAAATATATATTTTTGCCGTAAGGGCTGTTATATCTGTAATGCCATAGAGCAAGATTTTACAGCCAAGTGGCTTTAATCTATTCGAGAGTCACTTGATTAGTTCAGCTCTTGTTCAGTAAAATCAGCAAACAGCAGCTGATGTGAAGCAGACGTCACCTCCTCATCAGTGAGCTGATCTGATCTAGCTCACAGTAACGTGTGTGTGTTTGTCCTTCAGGAAACCCGAAGGGAGTGATGCTGACCCACGGGAACATCATCGCAGACTTCGGCGGCTTCTTGAAAGTGACCGATGTGAGTGGTTTGTGTTCGAATCCCCTCTGCATTGAGCTGACTGGCACTTATCTAACTAACCGCTGCGCTTTCTATTTGTGCCTCTGCAGAAGGTGATCTTTCCAAACCAAGACGATGTTCTCATTTCCTTCCTGCCTCTTGCTCACATGTTCGAGAGGCTGATTGAGGTGAGACACATGTGAGAAAACGTCTGCCTGTGTTTGCCGTGACATATTCTGATGCAGTAGCTCAGCTTGGCTCATTTAGAGCTCACACACACACACACACACACACACACACACACACGCACACACTCACACCCTCCAGCACAAACTCCAGCTCTGCTCAGGTTACAGTTTGGCTCTGTGTCAGCAGTGCACACTAACAAGGGCATGAAACCACACCTACACAAACACAGAAACTCACGCTTCCTCTTTCTCAGACGCTGCAGTCCTTATATGACCCACTGATCTCTGTCTCTTAAAGGAGCCGCCAGTTTGTTTCCTTAATGCACTTTAAACAGCTGGACTGATCTGAGAGAACATGAAATTATGAAACACATGTATTACGGACGGTCAGATACTGGATCCTTGTAGTGCTTTATACAGCACAGACTGTTTCATATATATATATATATATATGTATATGTTCCTAGAACGCATTTTTGTCAGCTGGGTTCACAGTAATAAACAGGAAAATATTTATATTTTAATATTAAATTAATATTACTATTTATGTTACTCTTGCACAATTCATCCATTATAAGACTTTTTGTTTTATTTCTTCTACATAAGGCAATAGAGTCTTTATGTCAGATCAGTTTAGTTGGAGTTTGTCAGTGCAGTCAAATATTTCGCAGTATTTCTGATCGCTCAGTCTGCTGTTCCTGATCTCTAGGCAGTGGTCATCTGCCACGGCGGGAGGATTGGCTTTTTCCAAGGTGATATCCGTCTGCTTTCGGACGACATGAAGGCTCTCCGGCCCACCATATTTCCAGTGGTGCCGCGGCTCCTGAACCGCATGTATGACAAGGTGAGACGCTGACCGCTTTCTGTCTGTCTGCATATGAAAGTCCTGCACAAACTGACTGATCCTGAACATATTCTTGAAGAGTAAAGCACACAGACACCAGCAGTGTAACAAGGGCTAAAATAAGTTTTGTTGGAATAAACTGAAGTATTTAGGTGTTAAATCATATTTTTAAATCATATTTTTGACTTAAATTAACTCGTTAATTTAGATGTTTTAGGTTGCACAGCAGATGTGCAGCACTCTGACCTTCATCGTGTGTTTTCAGGTGTTTGATCAGCGACTCATGGTTTATTGCTCAATTCAGACAATATTTGCTGTTTATAAAATAGTGTATATCGAATTATAAATATATTCATATTTTGAGTTTCTTGACATTGTGTGTGTGTCTGTCTACAGGCCTTTCAGGCATGTATATGGTTTATGAGGACACAAATGTGTATAATAACATGAGTATTGCAACACGAACGTGGTTTATGAGGTTTACACTTCCTGTGATCCTGTGAACCAAATGGCTTGAAAGCAAACTAAACAGTGTGTTTTTGAGAATGTAGAAATAATGCCTGTAGTTTTGTGTGAGGGGTAAGTTTAGGGTTAGGGGATCGAAAATACAGTCTGGACAGTAGAAAAACCAGTACACCGATGGAATGAACCCATAAAACACTGAGCACATGCGTGTCGTCGCTCAGATCTTCAGTCAGGCCAACACCTCTCTGAAGCGCTGGCTGCTGAACTTCGCTGCGAAGAGGAAAGGGCTGGAGGTGAAGCGCGGCGTGATCCGCTGCGACAGCGTCTGGGTTTATGTTACTCTTGCACAATTCATCCATTATAAGACTTTTTGTTTTATTTCTTCTACATAAGGCAATAGAGTCTTTATGTCAGATCAGTTTAGTTGGAGTTTGTCAGTGCAGTCAAATATTTCGCAGTATTTCTGATCGCTCAGTCTGCTGTTCCTGATCTCTAGGCGGTGGTCATCTGCCACGGCGGGAGGATTGGCTTTTTCCAAGGTGATATCCGTCTGCTTTCGGACGACATGAAGGCTCTCCGGCCCACCATATTTCCAGTGGTGCCGCGGCTCCTGAACCGCATGTATGACAAGGTGAGACGCTGACCGCTTTCTGTCTGTCTGCATATGAAAGTCCTGCACAAACTGACTGATCCTGAACATATTCCTGAAGAGTAATGCACACAGACACCAGCAGTGTAACAAGGGCTAAAATAAGTTTTGTTGGAATAAACTGAAGTATTTAGGTGTTAAATCATATTTTTAAATCATATTTTTGACTTAAATTAACTCGTTAATTTAGATGTTTTAGGTTGCACAGCAGATGTGCAGCACTCTGACCTTCATCGTGTGTTTTCAGGTGTTTGATCAGCGACTCATGGTTTATTGCTCAATTCAGACAATATTTGCTGTTTATAAAATAGTGTATATCGAATTATAAATATATTCATATTTTGAGTTTCTTGACATTGTGTGTGTGTCTGTCTACAGGCCTTTCAGGCATGTATATGGTTTATGAGGACACAAATGTGTATAATAACATGAGTATTGCAACACGAACGTGGTTTATGAGGTTTACACTTCCTGTGATCCTGTGAGCCAAATGGCTTGAAAGCAAACTAAACAGTGTGTTTTTGAGAATGTAGAAATAATGCCTGTAGTTTTGTGTGAGGGGTAAGTTTAGGGTTAGGGGATCGAAAATACAGTCTGGACAGTAGAAAAACCATTACACCGATGGAATGAACCCATAAAACACTGAGCACATGCGTGTCGTCGCTCAGATCTTCAGTCAGGCCAACACCTCTCTGAAGCGCTGGCTGCTGAACTTCGCTGCGAAGAGGAAAGGGCTGGAGGTGAAGCGCGGCGTGATCCGCTGCGACAGCGTCTGGGACAAGATCTTCTTCCACAAGATCCAGGTGCGTGATGAGCAGCGCTGGTCTCTGATCGCTCATCTGATTTCTGACCACTCGTCTTATTTCTGACCGCTCGTCTGATCTCTGACCGCTCGTCTGATGTCTGATCGCTCATCTGATTTCTGACCGCTCGTCTTATTTCTGATCGCTCGTCTGATGTCTGACCGCTCGTCTGATCTCTGACCACTCGTCTGATGTCTGATCGCTCATCTGATTTCTGACCGCTCGTCTTATTTCTGATCGCTCGTCTGATGTCTGACCGCTCGTCTGATCTCTGACCGCTCGTCTGATATCTG